CTGACGATTTGCCCGGCACAGATTTTGAGAGACTCCCAAACGCTTTAGAGATGACGTTTTGTCAAGGGGAAAGGTATGCAATGAACTGAGAGCGACAAACTAATCATACACAATGAACATATGGGGTACCTGTAAAGTGCGAAACGAAATAGAGACGAAACGAAACGAAACGAACTGAAACGAAACGAAATATGCCGAAACGAAACGAAATCTACCTAAACGAAACTAAACCTACCGAAACGAAACGAAATCAAGACGAAACGAAACGAAATCAAAACGAAACCTGCCGAAACGAAACGAAACTATCAAAATGTTGTTTTTTTTCAAATCAAGGTACATGTATATAATTGTATATGTGTAACTACATGTGGACTATTTTTTACTTCAAACAGAATTTATATATTCATGCACTTCATAAGAGAAAATTTAATTACCGGTATTTTATGCTCCCTTCTCAGTCTAATGATGTATTTATATGTTTGCCAGCCGCAAATATGCACGAGCATACTATGCATGTACAATTTCAATATGTGAGTATTTTATAATTTTTACATCTTACTCTTATTTTCAGTCCTTATTTTATTTAGATACAACATATCTATCCAAATTGATGTGTTACATGTACGTAAAGTCTCGTTTATAAAACGATAGAAATAAAGTCACTAAATACTATTATATGCGAATGTCTTAAAACATAGGATAAACCAGGGACTTAGAGTATTTAGTATTCCATTCCGAGGTGTCTGGTTTTATTGTTCAATTATACATATAACTACAACCGGAATCTTGTGTATTCTTTCTACGTACATACGGTCCTATTTTTATCGAGGTAATTTTCGAGGAAGAATTTGCAAAAAGAGGCTCGACCAGAGACGTCTAAAACGATTTAACTGACAAGAAGAAAGTCTCTCGAAGCGAACAATGTCATTTTTAAGTAGGTAAATTATTCAGTAAGATATTAAAAAAAATATGACATAGGCGTCGGAAGCGGGGAGTGGGGGGGTATCCCTCCCCCCCCCCCCACTTTTTTGCAAAGATGTATTTTATATTGGCATTTAAAATTGGGGTTTACCTTTTTTGTTGATTAAGCCCCCCCCCCCCCCCCCACCACTTTCAATTTCCTTCGGACGTCTATGTATGTTGAAGCGAAACAATTGCCTGTGGTGCTTGAACTATATAAATTTCATATGAAGTAAAATTAGACCATATAAACATTCTGAAAGTTTGTTTCGGCAGGTTTCGTTTTGATTCCGTTTCGTTTCGTCTTGATTTCGTTTCGTTTCGGTAGGTTTCGTTTCGTTTCGGTAGATTTCGTTTCGTTTCAGTTCGTTTCGTTTCGTTTCTATTTCGTTTCGCACTTTACAGGTACCCGAACATATGGCATGATAATGAAGTAACCTATAAAAAGATGTATGCCTTTTTAAATAAAAGGACAACAGGGTTTAGACACAGGCACCTGAAGTGTGGATAATACCCCCCTCTTTTTTAATGAAAAAAATGTAAGAGTGTATAATATCTCAAATATACAAAATTTCCCCGTCAAACACATCTATATCTCGTTCTATGCAAGCATAATTTACTTTTTCTTACGTTTAAAGAATGGCCCTATTCGGTTTAATAAAAATACACAAGGTAAGAAACAAAATTTGTAAGCAAAGGTGGGTTCCCCGCTTCGAGACAGAGTTTCAAGGTAATACATTGTTACCCATCATACTTTTGCAAGCATTCTGTCAAGGAGATGTTCTTCTACTGAGCTATTTAACCTAAACCCCGCCATTAATGTTTAATATGCCGTAATCGGACGATTTATTAATCGGACACGTAAAATTTTCTCCATTGGCAGCTTTGGATCAGGTTTTGGAGTCGCAATTCTGTTTCGCCTTATCTGATTGGTTATATATTTAAACTGCATTACAACTAGTGCTAATTGTAACGGGGACCGTTACAGATGTTCCCCAAACGCTCCCCAACTCCCTTTTGGTGCCATATTCCCTGTAAGCTTCATTAAACAACCTCTATGCATCTGAGATTTTAACAACATTAACAAAGAAGTGTACAAAAATCATTTAAACTTTAGCATTGCACGCGTGCACATGTGAATGCATTTGCGTCATGACCATATCATCTTGTCTACACAATCTATATTTTTAATATACTGAATATTAAAGTATTTAATCAAAAATTATTTAAAAAATACGCTCATTCAAGTGTATGTTTGATTTTACTCATTTCACGTGCACGCACGTGCATACATGAGCATGGTGACCATACCTTCTTGTAGAAGTCCATTACATCTATCTATGTTCTAAATTCCACCCCGTTTGCGTGAAAACTAAGGGAGTTATAGCTGTTTAAAGTTTCAGCCAATCAGATTGCAGCACATGTACACGCACGTGTATGCATGTGCATGGTGACCATACCTACTTGTAGAAGTCCATTATATCTATCTATGTTCCAAATCCAATCCTGTTTGGTTGAAAACCAAGGGAGTTATAGCTGTTTAAAGTTTCAGCCAATCAGATTGCAGCGCACGTGCATGCACGTGTTTTCATGATAATTGCTTTATTTCATGTTGTAGGATATCCTAATGCATGGCTATCCTCAAAATTTCAAAGGATTTCGTCAAAAAACAAGAAAGATATTGAGACTTTAGTTGCAGCCAATCAGAGCGAAGTGCACGTGCATGCGCGTGAGATCTTGCTATTTTCACCATGTCGTCATGTCTATACTACTAATATATCCTCACATTATGAGTTTCAAAGCATTTCATTTAAAAATAGAACAGTTGTGGCTATATCTATTATATTGGTCATTTCACGTGTTGCACGTGCACGCTCTTGCAAGCACGTGCGCGCAAAATGACCTTGATTCCGCAAATCTACATAACATGTCTACTAACCCTAAAAAGGTTTTACCTACATCGGACGAACAGTTTACAAGATCATTCCCGGACAAAAAAGTTCCAGGAAGAAGAAGAAAAATAATAATAATAATAATAATAATAATAATAATAAGAAACAGAGTAAAAACAATATGTTCCCCAACTTCGTTTGGGGAACATAATTAACCACCCTTACAGTTTTTTCATTAAAAAAAGAGGGGGGGGGTCGTTATTATCCACACTTCAGGTGCCTGTGGGTTTAGAGGTTTATGTTGAATAATAACAGGTGCTGGTATGGCTAGACACTTTAAGGTTATTTTATACTTTCATACTAATCAACCAATTGCCACATCGTTTACAGAGTCTGTGGTTGAAAGTTGAAAGTCTGCACACTTTGTGATACATTTAATTTATTTTATTGTGTATGTACAAATATTTATGAATATTGTGCGTTTCTAGTTTTGCTCAATCATATCTGTCCAGTTCATTGACAAATAGTAAAAAGACTTGCCTAAGATTTTGAGTCCCGATCGAAAGGAAAGATAACTCTAAAAAGAAACTTGAAACCACAACTTTTGATAATACTTTTTCCACATCAGTGTATTTGATATTAATTCAATTTTTTATTGTAATTTAATTCAATAATGTTTCTTCTATACAACAGGAGTCTTTCTCTTTTTTTTCTAGATGTACTTTAGAGAAGATGGGTTTTATTTACTTTGAATAAATTAAATTCTCAAAAAATGAACGTTAGAGAAGATGGGTTTTATTTATTTTTAATAAATTAAATTCTCAAAAAATATATTGACCAATAAAAATAAGTTTTTGTAGCCATTTTGTGAGACTAATGATATACCGTAGGAAAATACAGCAGTTGTTATGTTACCTATAAAAACTAATTGGAAAAAAGTCTTGAAACTTCTGAAATTATTTTTAAATAATTCTTACATTCATTCCTGGGTACTTAAGACCATGGTAACTATGGAAACTTATTCAACTTTTCTGCGCATGCGTACAATATGGAGGAAGCTGTATTTAGCAATATTTTCGTTATGGGGCATACTGAAATTACTTTTACTTTTGTTTTCTCGATAAAAATAGAATTTTAGGTTCTGAAATCTAAATAAATACGTTTAGGAGTTGAACAAAATTCACAGGGATCATGCAAAAATTCTACATTTGTCAATTTTCCCATTTGTGCGTTACGGTGTCTCTTTAATTCCTGGACGATTCTTTTAAGGGTTAATATTCTTGTAAAAAAGTAATGCTCAGAAATAAAGGAAAATAAGTTTGATGTGTTTGGAAGATCCTTAATATCCAAGAGCTGGGGAGAAGATTTTCAAACAACTAATGTATTTTCACTATGGACTATTAATCATTAGACTCCCGCCTTAACACCAGAACCCCTGACTTTGAGGCCATGAAATTCATAACTTTGGAGGAGACGACCTTCCTAATCATAGCTATGCATTTAGTTTGTTTTCATAATACCCAGGAACCGAAGAAAAGATTTTCAATGAATTATTGCATTTTCCCTACTTGTTGCACTAATTTAGTAGATTTTTGCTTCACCAGGGTCCCAGGAGATTAGGGAACATGAAAATTGCAATTTTCACTTCAATCCCCTTCACCAATAGAGGCAATATTTAAAAAAAAACTGGTAGTAATAAGTTCTGTGGTTCAAAGAAGGAGCTATAAATGTTAATTAAATGTTAAAACACAACGGACAACGCAGAACAGACTTTGCACGACACATGACGAAGGACGATAACAGAAATCAAAAGGTCACCTGAATTTACTGCGGTGATCTAATAAATTTTGAGAGATTACGACAGGGGGCGTCAACAGAAAAATGAACACTCTAAAACATGCATGAAACTTTGTTTAGAAAAAAAGTAACTTTTTTTATTGTTCATGTAAACCGTCATGAAAGATCTGAACTTGATTTAACCACTTTGGATTGGTATTTCTTTTTTTTCTCTTCATGTCAACTCATTGATTGACAATGACATATTTAATCCGAATACTGTAACAAGCGTGGGAAGATAGTACACAATGTATTTCTTAAATGCATATACATAGTATAACTTACAGAGCACATTGACATTCATGGACTGACTGTTTGATCCGCGCCTCCAATGCTGTAACTGTTTTGTGCTGTACATGTGTAGGTACCAGCCATGTTTCTCTGTATTCTCTGTATCCGCAGTACAGCACCATTCTGTCTAAATCCAGAGTCACCTGTCTTAGTCCAGTAGACATTGGTTTGGGAAGGATTTCCATTGGTGACAGAACACGTGACAGATAGGTCATCTCCTTCTATAATGTCTTTATCTGTCAAACTGGACACAGACGGGGGATCTATAAGGTAAAGAATATTTTTTTTAATTTTTAGACTTGAACAAAATTTATCACTTGACAAAAAGCAAGTCCTGGTTTTTTTTTTTTTTAAACAAAAACCTGTGAACAAAACATGACCGGGACTCCGGTATATCCAGAGGGGGATTAAGGTGCCTTGGAAAGTTAGCATCTCGTGGTGATTAGTTACATCCGAAATACAACGTATACATAAAGTTCATAGAAAACAAAAACATATGTCCTACAATTCATGGCAGAAATCTACCCACAAAAGATCAGAACAAATTTCTCCTACATTTTTTTTGGTTATTTTAATATAACTTGGCACACAAGCTGACTACATAAAAAGATACAAAATTCTTTTCATAGGTTTGCAATTGCATGCACAAAAGTACACGTTACAAAAATCAAGGCAAAGGGGAAAAAAAAGGAAAATGTAAAAAAAAAAATTTAAAGTTTTGTATTTGAATACTGTAGACGTCTTTTAAATTTTACGTGTCTAAAATTTCACGGTTTGTTAGAAAGTAACCTTTCACGGTGGTTTTAATTTCACGGAGAATGTTTTAAATAGTCAGGTACTATGACTGTTTCTAGATAGAAATGACGTGAAATAATTATCGCGATGGCTTAAAGTTCGCGTAAAATTTTAAATCGTGAACATAGTGAAATTAAAAACACCGTAATGTTTTCCACTTCTACAGTATGGAATTTATTTCACTCGTGAGACAGGTTTTTTTTTTTTATTTTCACTTGTGCTTCGCACCATAAAAAAATTTAAAAAAATCATGTCACACTCGTGAAATAAAACCCCCTATTCAAATACAAATCATTGAATATTTCTATTTATTTTACACACTTACAGAACACATTGATGGTCATAGACTGACTGTTTGACCCTGTGCCTCCAATGCTGTAACTGTTTTGTGCTGTACACGTGTAGGTACCAGCACTGCTT